TTGTGGTGTTCATCGGCTTGAGCAGACCGTGCTGCACCATCGATATTCAGAGGATATATATCATCCTCCATAAGGGAACGCTCCTGTCTGTCAGGCACCATACAATTGAATGAGCCAGGAAAGAGCATCTTCAACGGGCAAATATCTTTGCGCGTCCTGCATTGCTGGGAATTGGATGGCCCGTCGCGAATCTTGTGCTGTCGAAAGAACCGAGCAATGAATATGCCAGGATGAGTCCCAATATCGTTATCCCGTCGGCTCGAAAACCAAACCAAGCCCAGCTACCGCGTGCGAAGCTGCAGGAACAAAAGACAGACTTCTCAGCAACACACCGCTTCATGTTCCACTGTACAGCGCTCGCGCTGTCCAAGACACCACAAACCAAGGCCCTGTTTTCGGGGATTAGCCGCTCGGGAATTTCCCTCATTGTGGTGTCCATTTCGCACAATCTAGGTACAAATCTGAAGTAGACCATGAAACCCATGGAGATGACAACATGTCGTTGGTGTTTGACATGGGTTCTAGCCATCGCTGAGGACCTCTGGGTTGGTAGATGAATCGTCGCGGATGAAGACAGCCGCAACGCCAATCCCGATGCATAGACTTTGACCAAGCCCCATTGTCGCTGAGATGTTCTGGGATAAGACCACAGGTCGCTTCTGAGCGAGCAACACCACTTGTGACGGATACAGATGTACAGATTCGGCGCCATAGGCAAACTGTCAAGCATCTGAGAACACCACACCATGTATGTGTCTGTCCTCTGGACAACCCTCATAGTTGCTAGATTGTTCATCGACGGTGAGTCGGACTTGAGATGGACGTGTCACAGGGACGGCTGCACCGCCGTTGAGCTTGACGGCGGTTCCATCGACTTGTAACGGTGAAGGTCATATTTGCCATCTCATTAGGATGCGTAGGTATGATACAAGGCCCGACACCGTAAGCAGAGATCACAAACACTAAGCGGGGGACCAGTTTGCCAACATCATTGTCAAGATACACCCCCTTGTTGTTTAGTATCTAAGCAGCCAAATCAGCTGCATTTCCATTTCCTTGGTGCCAGCACGCCAGTGGGCAGAGAACATGGATTGATGCAGTCGGGTGGTTTGACTTGGCAGACGAGATGGAGATCAGCATGGCATCTTGACTACCAGCCGGTCACGCCCCGCTTGATCCTGTTAATAACAGTATAAGAAGCTGAAGAGCGAGTCGAGAGTAGACCATGTCGAATATCCGGCCCCATTATGAAGCGAAATTTGGAACTTCGCTTCCCACAACGACCAGGGGCCATCGCCAGTTCGAAGTTAGGGCTGTCTTTGATATCTGTAGCGAGGAGGAACATTCATGACAGGTTGGAACATTCCACCTACATCTTCCAGGAGATTCAACCAGGATGGGCATCCCACGCCATCCGACAAGATGAAAAGGTACAACCTATCATTCCAATTCTTGGGCCCGCGGGATACCCTTCTAGGGCTCTTGTTGCGATGTGTCTCGCACGGGTAAATTGCAGCCACCTTCTTTGGCACATACTTCCAGCCGAGCCAGCCTTCAGGGTGTCCATCCCAGCGCAGGGTCTGTCTTTTGTAAGGGTCCCGGAATCTTGACCAGTGGTGATCCGTCAAGAGCGGGTCATCTGGGCCCCAAAGCAATCATTTGCAGGGCAAAGAAGGAATGAGAAACCCCGCTATTGTACAGTCTCCCTTCGACACGGGAATTCCTCGACATCATGGTCCCTAACCATGTACTGGACGGTCCGTCTAGGTAGGTATGATGATCCATTGCAGCACTTCGAACACCGCGATGCTGCTCAGATGTTCCACATCAACAAGCATGCAATGTAGCAAAAACTATCATGGTTGAACAGTTGACACCTGGATAGTTTAGGCAGTAGGAGCGATGTGCTGGAATCTGGAACGGCGGGAACTCAAGCCCAAAAGGAAACTAAAGGTGGCCATACTTCCATACCTTGCTGTCGTGAGCTAGAGAGTTGGACTTGGGCGGAGAATGAATTGCGCGGAAGGGGTATATAGATGGGGGAGGTGAGTAAATGCAAAGGGCGGCTTGTCATCGTGCAACCCTGATAAGGGCATGGTAAAATGGATATGAGCATCACCCAGCCCATAACATCAGGCAAGACGTCCTATATCCCGTCTATGGCTGGCTTTGTATCCCAGACATTTGACCGAACTGAACAACGGGGTAGACCCCAGGTCTGACCTGTTAATCCAGGTACACCCGTAGGTTTGCCCTTAATCATCGAGATAATCGTCTGATGGATCCACTCCCATCGGAGTCCGTACCCATACGGACAATCAAAGGACCAAGTTTCTCGCAACCTGCAGCCTTTGCTATCTGATGAAGAGTACACCTGTACTCTAAGCGTGGATATAGTCCACGAATTCTCCGGGTGATCTACCATCACCGCAACGATATGCTGCTTCGAAGCCGTCAAACACTTCCTTCATCTTCTGTGTTGTATCCTGTGGGGTATGTGGCAAACCACCAGACAGCTTCACTAATGCCCTGCTTCAAAGAAGCAGCCCTGAAGTTCTTGCTCCTTCTTGCAATACGCCGTGGGGTATTTGGCCACACCGAGCATCCTCCCTATACAACATCTGTTAGTTTACTTCAAATCAGCCTAGATCAACATACCTCCTAGATGTCGAACCCCTCGCGAGGCACCCGTCCGTTCAGCACTCGAGTGGTCTTCATATCCTTCCCAGCCACGAAACAGACCCTCATCATCCTCACCGTGAAGTTCCGCACCCTAATTCTGACCCCCTGCGCGATGCACAGACCTTCCTAATAACCCATATACCAATTCCAACATAAGATAAACCCCTAACCGCACTACATACCCTCCAAAACACAGCAGACCCCATAGACCATGCCCTCCGGACGAAAAGCAGCCGACATATATCCCTCAATAAGTCCGTGGGTCATGGCCCAGAAATGTGCCGTAGGGACGATAACCCCCAACCCCCCCCCAATATATATATCTCACATATAAAGGAACCCGTAGATCGCAGTCCGATTAGAATGGTCGTTCCCATGGGTAGCAGATCCAATATTAGCCTAGGCTTAGGCTTAGGCTGGATGTCTGGGGTGTTGATGGGCGTGAGACGGTAAGAGTGTGGTCATGATTTATTTCATGAGAGGAATTAGGGTTAGACGGACCAGTGTAGGTAGTGCACGGGGCTTATTGTTTCCAAGGGAGGACGTGTTGGTATAGTGCTGCTCGCTGACGGTCTCAGAACTGGAGTCTGGCTCACTTCAGGCAAAAATGGTGAAGAGCATCGTGTCGAGTAGGTTCGATGAAGCCGTGAAAAGTCGGGACAATCGGAGAGTACATTGCTGTGTGGGCTGGCGAGTAAATCCAGCTGATGAATATATAAAATGAAATGAACCATTCTTTGCCTGTGGCAAGACAGCCCATCAGTTCCATAACCGACCCGGACACGGTAGGTGTCGAGGAATTTCAGCATTCCGTCCGCGGTAATGATCGATAGCGTTAAGATACCCTTTCCTCTCCGTATCGTCGTGATACACTATTCATCTCCAGTAGAAACCACCACCACTGTAGGCACACTCGTGGACTGTCTGAGATATATCCACAATGTAGGCGTGATGATCTTGTCGACTATAAGCAGCTGCACCCTGAGTGCTTGTATGGCTGGTATGTGATTTGGAGAGAGTATTGGTCTTGAAAGACCAGCGTATAACGAGCTTGGTAGATGAATGAGTGATGTCTAATGATTGCAGCTGGGTGAAGGCTAGGGACGCATTCAGATAGAATGCAAGTGGCGGCTGCTGAAGGACTCGCGTCTGACTTTGCAATGTACCAGAAGCTTTGAAGATATCCAGGGCAGCATCTTAAGGCCATTGGAGGCTCGTGGCGGCAGAACGGCTACGGCGTAGGATCGAGGGTACATGCTGAGATATGCGTTTATGAATTGATGCCATTGGAGATATGTGCATGCTGAGATGCCCATAGCATGCTCGGGGACAGTCTCCCGGCTCTGCAAGAATCTCGTGGGCTGTATTTGGGATTTGCAAAACCCGTGAGAAGGATCTGGAGATCTCAGAGGTCATGAGCCTGTCAGTCAGGACCATAGCCTGCCGGATTGCACGGTTCACGTTGGTTCGACGGTCTCAGATGCCAGCTATGTCTGGCAGGCCATTTTTGATAGAATATCGAGGCCGAAATGTGCCAGGAGACGAGAGATCTAGATCTCCTCCGCGCGGGATGTGCCGGCGGCTCTAAATGTTTGTTAATGCGCTGGATCTTGCTATAAGCGATCAGAGAGTATCATTGGAGCTTCAGCCCCAACGCAGAACAATGATGTTCTTTAGTGATAATCCTGGCGCTGATGACTTGCTCACAGCGATCGGAATAGATCCAGCCTGTCTGGCTCATACAGAGACGGTCTATCGTCTGTATTCAAGATAGGCTCATGTTAGGGCCGCAAGGCAGGTCATAAGGTATGACATGTTGCTAGGAATTGTTAGCATCTGCATTTAGCCCGTTGATTACACTCACCGGAGATGTAAAATTCTCATCATTGAGAGCATGAGCCAGGCCAAGGGTAGCCTGAACGGTCTTGCGCTGCTCGTCGCGAGCAGAGCGATATCATAAAGGTGGGACTTGGTATACAGTATATTGGAGCAGGGAATATGGCCGTGAGGATCCTCAGAGACCTTGCGGCCTGGCTTCTTGAGATAGATATAATACTTGGATTGAGAATGAATCATGATAGATTGATTGTAGAAGGTATATATACTGAGGAATCCGGAATACCCAGAATCTACATATGAGAGAGGAAGATGAAGAGGAAGATCGAGAAGAATTCTGAACGAGAGGAAGAAGCCTGATATGGCCCATGAAAATGCGTGAAGTTCCAAACAGCGAATACCGAAATTATCTTCACGATGGCATCTTCACGACGACATCGTCACTACAATCCCTCTGTGAAGCATCGATCATCAACCCGTCACTAAGCCAGTCCACTAACCAACCGATCCCCCAAACTCTTAATACTCTCCTCAAATTCCTGCGTATTCCCCGCCGTCCACTTGGCACTACCTCCCGGCACCGCATCCTGCCCCGTGAATCCAATATACATCACATCATCCGGCGAATGGCCATTATTCCCACTGATCCCGGCATCCGGGAAACACAGTCCGGCGAGAGCAATTGACGCCTCGCCCGTCACGCTCCCGCCATTCGTATCTCCCCAAATTCCATACACCTATCGTCACTCATCAATCCGATCCCGTGAATTCCCCCCAGGAATAATAACTCACCACCTGCCCATTACAAACCACGGCCATCACACCCAACGGCACCATCCCACTCCGTTGCGGATCATAATCCGTATTCCCAAACACGACATACGGATGAACATTCGCATCGAGATCACTAATCCCATACTGCCCCAGCTGATCCTTAAAAGTCGTTTGATCCTGAATGGACGGATCATTCCCGCAATTCCCCCCGTGCGCGTGCGCCCCATCACAGTCAATATCCATGTTATCGTATTCGCCGCCCATGGAATCGCTGTGCAGGAAGACGGCGTTGGGGATATCGCCGCAGTAAGTGAAGGTGGTGTCGCTGGTTTGGCCGTCACTGAAGTTGCTGGCGAGGATGGTGGTGCAGGGTTTGGACTGGACGGTTAATGAGGTGGAGGAGGGGTTATGGAATGAGGACAGACCTTGTGAGTGTTGTAGAGTTGGGCTAGATTGGCGGGAATACTGTAGGCGAATGTCAGGCTGGCGAATGCGGTCCAGAGGGCGGTCGTGAAATGGAGGGACGGCATCGTGAATGTTGACAGTGACGGCGACGGCGAGCGGTGGTGGAGCGCGGTGTAGTGGGCGTGAATGGATATGACTAGAATTGACGCGAATGTCTGGATTTATACGGTTTGATCAAAATGGCCGTCTCCATGCCGTCATGGTGAGTTTGGCACGGAGTCAGAGTTCTAATTGTGATGGAATTTCTACGTATACCCGTACCCATCAGGTTTCCACGTGTGTGAAAATAACTCGGCTCTTGTAATAAATCGCCCACCACCAGCACCATACTATTAGACTACAATGCTATCATTAAAGAGCATGCTTAAGAGAAATGCTTGAGCGACCATGCAAGTAAATCAAACGTGCTGAGTGCCCATGATGCACCAGAAAGCAGGTACAATGACTGCCCTTCCTAGGGCTGATGGCCGAATTGACCTTACACTGGCGTGGGTGGCGCTGAATGATATCAGTGGTTGTCTGAACCGTAATACTTAGCCGTCAAGCAGGAGGTCGGCAAGATCATGTTAAGAATTTGTTCTTATGTCTCGCTCTTAGCGGTATTCGATCAGCATTTGGGTATCACATGTTAATTGGTCCGGAATGATGCCCGCTACTTAAAATATGCCATCGGTAGTGGTCAAAGCGATAATACATAATGGTAGTTGTGGCCTAAAGCTTGAGTTCGCGCCCGGAGTACACTATAATACCGATATAGATTTAATCCCAAACCAAGTAGCAATGTTGCCTGGAACAGCCAGTTATTGGTCTTTTCAACGGCCTGTCTTACCATGTGACACTTCTAGGATAGACATAATCATTTAATAGACGATTTCATGCTGATAAGGACAACTAATGGTGTGGTATCCAACCATATCAATTGACGCATGCACGAAATATCTACCACCAGATGAGACCAGCAGAAAAGCACGTAAGGCCCACAATGGATGCGCATGGCCTCAAGTAGAGTCTCAAATATGCCCTCAAGATGAATAAGATGTAGGTTCTACTGAATGGTGCAACGAGGGTTGGTGTTGCTATTGGCAGATTGAGCATCTTCTAGACGCTAGGACGAATAATCGGGCTCGAATGGAGTATTCAACGACACTGGGTATAGAACAGGCAAATGTATGGATATAAACAGCGTCATTGTTAGGGCTAAAGGAGGCCTCATCAACACTGAACTGTAGCAGCACGGCCACCTCCGACGTCCTCAATCCATACCAGTTGACAACAAGTACAGCCGTCAGGGAATCATCAGAGACAGTCCAGAACCCGCCATGATCAACAAGTCGGGGTAACCGGGCGATGCTAATCGGATAACCTCCTAAAAGGTCTAATATAATTGGCCAGCTCGCGTTGAGGTGGACGGAGCGGGTCGGTCCAAGAGGGGCGAATTTGTGGGCCAGCCAGCATGAGTGAAAATGACTCATGCTGTCTGAGCCCCACCACCGGACCGGGCGAGGCCTTGGCGGGGGTGGTTTAGTTAACTGCCTGCTCGACAGAATAATCTATCATTCTGGGTCATGGGGATCATTTCGACTCATGAGTGATCATTATGGGGGATTGTGATGAACCTTGATGGGAGCATGAGTCGAGTGTAGGGAGATATGTATATAAGCAATTAAAAGCACAGAGTAAATAAGTATCGATTCTATCATCGACATGTCTATTAATGGCATTGGTATGGTGAGTAAGTCCCACCCTTAGCGTCCCACGGCCATGAAGACACTCCCTATCGCTGACATGCTCCGCATTGTGAGGCGCTTGGAAAGATGGAGAACTTTTCAAGGGTTCCGCCGACATCATCTGACTTGCTCGCTCGTGTTGAGGTGGTGACTTGATCTACGGTGGATACTGCTAACACCGATGCAACTAGGCAATCTGCTGTCAATAACGGAAGAGGAGGAGGAGGAGGAGGAGGAGGGAGAGGATGAGCCATAATGACGAGTACATAGAGGCCGGGTTCGCAAGAAATCAGATGTAGATTCTAAAATTCATCAATTGTCTTGTTCTAAGAATATGGCCAGCTCAATAAAACCCAGCAAACTAAAACTGCGTCGGAGTCCGCGCCACTCCACCCCCGCTAAACCCCAAGCAGCCAAGACCCCCTCGATCGGGGCCCTTATAAACCCCGTCTCGCCCCGACCAACCTTGCCCTCTCCTTCTTCTCATCCTCCATCGCCGCGGCGAAAGCGTCCCCTTCTCCCTTTTCATCGTTCCGGCTCTTCCGGGTCCAAGGACCCGGCCACAAGTATACAAGAATGGCTGTCGCTGCAATTACCGTCATGCACGCCGCCCGCCAGACCCCCACGTTCATCTTCCGTGAACGAGACGCAGCCGTCGGCGTTTGATTACCAGCAGCACCACCACCTCTCTTATTCCTCCGATCCATTCTATCTTCCTCCCGAATTACATCCCTCGCAACTTACATTCTCTGATTTCGACCTCGCCTCGTCCGCGGCCTTTCCTCCCGTTGACCCCTCGTTCTATGAATCCTCCGATCCCTCCTTCCCGGGGTCCGCCTTGTCCTGTCTGAGCGATAGCAGCTATCAAGATCAGATCCTCGGCTACCCCCTGCCCCCTCTCCTCCCCGTGCCTGCGGCGGATCCGGACCCGATTGACTCTCTGCTGAGTTCTCCCGAACTAAGCGAGTCGTTGAATCTGCTCGGATCGCCCAGTGTTCAATCCCAAGGTACATACCCCCCCATCAATGTAAATGAATGTAAAGAGGGAGACTGACGGTATAGAATCCTCCGAACCCTCCCCGCAAATGCCCGCCGTCAGCAACACTGCATCCCCCCTCAACCGGTCTCGAGACCCTCCGAAAGAACCTCCGAATCGTGTCAAGAAACGGGAACTGAATACCATGGCGGCGCGTCGATACCGCCAGCGTCGCGTGGATCGGATGAATCAGTTGGAGGAGGAACTCGAGGCGATTAAGCGGGAACGTGATGAGTTGAAGATGCGGGTGTCTAAGTTGGAGGGGGAGACGGAGGCTTTACGCAGTATGGTGAAGGGGCAGAAATGATACCTTAATACCTTACTTTGACTGTCTACTGTAAATGTAGATGTAGATGAGATGCCAGTCACTATTATGCCCGATTCGTAAAGCCCAATTATGTCGCGTTAGCTTATCAGCCATCCTTATCATATTCTGGTAATGAAATCCGCATGGTGAGTGGTGCCACGTCTGTTTTAGCCCGCATCTTACTCCGTACTTAGTTGGTATTCTATTTATGGAGTCCAACATGGATTCAACCCACCCTCGCCTCCTGGAGGTATCAATACGGCTCTAGGTTACCACCAAGGACAATCACTCATCAGCCCTAGTACTTCCCATCGAGACAAATAATTAGATCCTAGCCCTAGAAACACACCCACTCTATTTAGTCCCTAAATCTACAATTCATTCTGGTCTATCTTTACACCCATGTCTCAAGATAGATTCAAGTAAGGACGTGGGTATGAAGAGATAGTCCAGTTAGACAAGAGTCTATACTTTGAATCGACTTATACCAGCACCTCAACTACTACCTCAGCAGTACACCATACCACCCTACAGGACTAAATACTCCCAATCAACAATCAAACCCACCCCCCATCCACCAACGTCTCCTGCGATCCTCTCCTCCCCTCCCCTCCCTTCTTCATCCTAGTCCTCTGCACCCTCTTCTCCCCCCAAACCACCCCCCACCCCCCAC